TCTCTCAGACGACGCCGCCACGTCAAACCATCTAGAGTACAAAGATGAAAAAGTATACCGAAACACGCATATTGTTGAATAAGGTTTAATGGCTTGGATGCATTTCGGGCTTATTGTTAGCCCATCTTCAGCAAGCACTTAAAACAAAACACAGAAACAAGTTAATCACAGTAAAGAATTGTCACAATGCATGATGGAGAAGAATATCGAGAGGCAAAGCGAACTAAGACACTTGGGAACTGGTCAAAAATGAAAAAATGTTGAAAAATGTTTTAAAAAAATGTTAAAAAATGTTTAAAAAACCGGTGGGAATAGCTGATAGAGTTAGCAGAAAAATATAGTAAACAAAATGAAGTATAGAGGGAGAGACGCTAATTTCTTCTCTTTCATCTTTATCATAACAGTACGCGAGATGCGTTTCTCCAGTCATCTAGAGTACCTTTATAGACTGAGTAGAGCAAAATTTGATGGATCTCAATGACGATTTCCCAATTCTGGATCCAGGTGAATCCATGTATTTCTTGATGACATTTCTAGCGTATTGCGCAATTTTAAGTGTTCGATTTAAAATTTTCAGAGACGCAATCATATTTACTAAGACCATTTTGGCTTTGATCGTGGTATACCATGCAGTTCATCCAGAAGATTTGCCGTAAAGGGTTCCCAGACACACAATGCACACGGAGCCCCTGATACACACAAAGAAAAAAAAAGAAAAATAGAAAAAAAAGAAAAAAAAAGAAAAAAAGGTTGAGTATGGCCACTAAGGGACCCACTCGTGATTGGATGAGCCATCATAGAATTTATAAAGTTCCTATGAAAAAAAATGGCGGACGTCTCATGTAGATGCTTCAAATGAGCAGATAATGTGGTTTTATTCGCTAGCATCATCGTGAAATATACCCAAATCACATATTAGTAGGCGTATGTACTCATAGGTGTGAAATGAATTTCGTGCAAAACCTTTGAAAAAATCGTTTTAATTTGAACCATTGCTATTGCACGGTTGGTAACAGGTGAAAAACGTCAAAGGCTGGCAATAACCCCCTCTCAACCTGGCTATATAATATTTTATCATGTGATCGTCCGTGCACTAAAAAAGGACCTCAGTCCAACTACCAAAAAGTTTTTGATACCAACGTGCAGATGAGTAGACTGCGAAAATGTTGAGACAAAGTTAAAAAATGTCTAAACCAACCCGAAGTGTATGCGATTCTGAAAACGTAGTTTCTAGAAAAAGCTGCTCGATGTGCTCCGTCCAGGGCGCAGAACTGTTGCATTAAATTGCACATTTACGCTAACATTGCCTGGTATTTTGTTAAACGAACACAATTTTAGAAGATATTAGACAACGGAAAGTATGTAGTTAGGTTGATTCTGGTTAAAAGCCATTCATTCTCCCCGGTCGCTGCGTTAATAGGTCAGTTCCAGTGGCGCGGCGTGAATTGCGATATATCGATTGATCTGCCATTTAAACCTATGGAAAAGGATCGATAAACAGGGTGTTTGCAGCGAGCCCCTTAATAATCGATTCTTTACCGTAGGTTTAAATGGCATAACAATCGATGTATTGCAATTCACGCCACGCCACTGATCAGTTCAACTGACCCGCCGAGTTTTTCTCGCGACAAAGCTGTTCCACCCAACGCAACGGTAGGCGATCCAGATCCAACGGTCATCGACGCATACTCGAATCAGCACGGGCCAGAAATGAGAATTGGTGTGTAAGTGGATCAATGGAAGCCAAAGGGTAGAACCGTGGGCTCGGATCTACTTAGCATCTCGGCGAGTCGTTGTTGGTTGTTGTTGAGCGACCGACTCATGGCTAACCGGTCACCGGTCGGGGTGCCCGAGTGTATTTGCCTATTTCTCCGCCAACTGATTTACTATTGCATGTGTTTGAATCAAAATCAACCAGCTCTATCGTGACATGGGCCCTGCTATGCATGTAATCTTATGGGTCTCATGGCTCATATCACAATCGAGATGGTTATTTTCGATTTAATCAGTCGACGAGAGTGTATGAGTTCTCTGCATTCCAAGGCTTCGAATACTGCCTTTGCCTCTCCTTTTACACATTGCGAGACGTCTTATTGGGCCTCACAGCCCAAATTCTCGCTGACTGCATTCCGTTGAGTCTGTGGTTATGCCCCGAGCATTTTTTTGACGACCAACAGCACTAGTGGAGAGTGGAATGAGTCATTTAATTCATTGATTTTTGAAAAGTGAAAATGTGCCTTTTTTCGGCAGTGGACCACTAGCTATTTGGATGCATTCATGCTAAGAGGAACTGTGTTGCATGGAAACCCCGAGGGCCGATTCCTGAAATTTATAGAAGAAGCTATATACAAAGAAGACATAAGGAATATATAGCGATCCTATCGGTTGAAATGGGTTGTTCCTTTAGACCAAGGCGGTAAATGATGGACTAACCATTGAGTCTCTCGTGGGTTGCCTTTAGTTAGTATATTACTCTCGTCCTTTATCCATTGCAACCACCCGCTCTCAACGGGCTGTGTATGAGAATATAAAGCACATCGATGGCCGAAGTGCGAAACCACGTATCTCCATTGCGATGTTTCAAAATGTCAGGTAATTTTTTTTTTTTTTTTTGAGAAGAAACAACCCGACTTTATAGTTCGAAAATACAGAATATTATGCTAACACAGAAGGAAGTTTATAGAAATTTTCAAGAAATTACGGTCATTAATTTTCTACAGAAATATTAAAGTAGGTATGACATGAAGTCCGCAACGTTGCGATCGGAGATACGTGGCTAAGTACTTTAGCTATCGATGTGAACAAACGGATATTGCCGAATTTTTTTAGAAAAGTTATCAGTCATATTTTCAGATCCGCTGGAGTGAATTGGTGGCACAATCCCTAAAAATTTCAAAAGTGAAAGTTTAGAAATTACCGAGAAAATTCTCATTTCATCGGAATAGTTCCCTGCGCGACGGGCGGGATGCATCGTCGTGCGGTGAGCGTTGAGCTTATTTTGAGCGAGGCCGATGTGGGAGTAGCGACAGGTTGCGTAAGCGAAACAGCTGAAATTGGGCGTCGTTCGACTGCCTCGTTAAGTAAGAACCCCGCAACTCCGACGGAAACATTATGTAAATCTGTTGTTTTTGCCCAGTAAGACAGTCGATTCCTCTCTTTCGTCTCGACCAGAATCGATACGATTCCCTGGATTTTCTTTCCCTCTCGGGATCCCGATGCAGCACATGAACGCGCCTCGCTCACACGTCCGTTCGTCTTGAAAATTGCCAAATTGACAAAAATTTCATGTATAAATAGTGAAAAATTTCGGATCGTCAACAGGGACAATTTGATTATATTTTGCATTAGAGAACCACTATTTATGGTTCATTTTAGAAACAACGCATGTGCCATTCCTTTACCCGCTCAGATAGGTGCTTCTATGGATGAGCCAGAAATTTTAGCTCCTTATTGCAAAATGCAGTCCGGTTAGTCAATAGTTTTTACATGAAACGGACTTACGTGTAGCGGCTTAAAATTTTGCGGTTTTTGGGACGAAAGAACGTAAACACATTTCAACACGGAGAATTGCAGAACTGGGACCTTCCATGAACAATACGTAACAATCTTAGAGACCCCCAGCCCATCAAATTAGAGTTTTGTAATTAATTGTGGATTTCAAATCGCCACATTGTGTTACTTTTTCATCTTAGATTTCGAAGAATAGACACGCTCGTAAAGTAGCCTTGATAGCACCCGCAACCCAGGTTCAGGTCACCCTTAGAGTGTTGCGTACTTGATAAACGACCCTAGAGTCCCTTTATACTGAGAGTCAAGACAATTCGGCTCGTGGATGTCACAAACGGGAATAAAGATTACAGAAATTGAACGTTTTTCGTAATCTTTGATCGGCCCATTCTCAAATTCCCTTCTCCGTTCCTCCTGGTTCCTCCTGTCATTCCGTTTGTTCCTTGCCAAACCCGTAATTCCCTGGTTCATTCCAGATTATAATCTTTGCAATCGGTAAAAATGTAATCTTTATTCCCGTTTGTGACGCTGTGGAGGCCTAAAATACGGGAACCAATCAGAAATGGATTCAAATTGTCTTGACTCTCAGTATAAAGGGACTCTAAACGACCCTTATTCACTCTTAAACAATACAAACTAAGTTCACGAAGTCTGGCAACGTGGCCTCTGACCGCGGCGATGGGTAGGCGTCCAGTCCCGGGTGACGTCATTCCGTCTCCGAGCGCGACGGTGGGCACGGTCCGCGACACGTCACGTCCGAAACCGTCATCGGCCGCGACCGACGCGACGCGACGTCAAGTCCACGTCGTGTGTCGATAAGTCGGGACGCGCGCAGTGACAGGTGTGAGGGGGCGGCACAGTGCGGCGTTACACTCATTTAACATCGATTACACCCGGACCGACAGCTCCGATGATGTTCTGCCGGCCGATTATTGAAACTATGTCGATAGGATTAGACAAGAAAAAGCACTATCTTAATCACACAATCTATCGCATTTCGATGTCATTGTAGTGGTGATACGAAATTTCAAGAATCGGCCCGCTCACACGCCTCTCTATTCAATCAGTTCCTCCTCCTTTCCGTGATACCATACCAGACTTAAATGAAACGCGTTCCCTTTCACGTGTTTTCAAGAAAATTCTCATCGAAACATGGATTTTTTGTGAAGAACTGCGAAGAGGCACAGTTGACACCAATCTGACGTAATTTTTTATCCGGGGGGTAAAAACCTGCCTGGCAAGCACCTGAAAAGGAGGGAGAGGGCGGAGTTAAAAATTGGAACCTGACCTAACGTCATTTATGTACGGCTCCAATGTGCGTTGCCTAGAATCATAGAGGTCTTATGGTTTGAAAAGATCGGAAATTTTGAAGTTGGCCCGATTAGTGAATCTCAAACATGTCGCACTTCCACCTCTCATTCTTCTGAGAAAGTATAATTTTTACCCATTTAAAGTGTAATCAATATTAACACATGATCATTGTCTTTTTTCAGATGCTAATACGATTCAAAACGGAGACAGCTGACAAATTTTAAGGGATACAGCATTTAACGTAAGTCTATTTACTACTTGCTAAGGTTCTCTCCTACTATAGGTAAAGTATTAAGGAAATAAGAAATTGTAACTTCATCAAATTTTGCATTTTAAGAGAATCTAAGTGGGAACTTCATAGTTTTCAGGAATTTTCGGCCATACAAACCCCAAAACCCCGATTAATACGAGAATGATCGTATGAATGCGGAGCGAATTTTTTTCTCCTTACTGAGTGACAATAATGAGAATTTATACAACGGGTAATAAAGATTCTTTACACAAATAGCATCAAAATCGTTTTAGCTAAAAACGCGGCTTTCTTCAGATGGATAAAAAACAATAAAAAATTTAAAAATCTGAAATCTTATTACTGGGCTGTACCTTTCAAAATGTTTCTATGTGTTTACTAAGGTGACTCACACTATTTTGGAGCGGTATCTACTTTTTTCCGGAGTACCATACGCTTTTATGGTGCAAATATCACTTCACATTCATATCACTCGGCAATCTTGTGCGCTCTATACACTCCAACACCGAATTTTACTCCTCGATTTTTAACAGGGCAGAGCTATCTCTCACGCCCGAAGCCCACGAGGGGTGTAATGCAATTTTAGAAGAAGAGGAAGGAGAAGAAGAAAAGTGTGGAAATTGAGGCGATAATTCCAGGAGTGCGTTTTTTGCAGGGCGTAATAAATAAATCAAAGGACGAGACGAGTCCCGAGGATGATTCATCCTTCGCGCACGGAGCTCGAAAATCCAATGAGTTGACATTAGCCGCGGGATCCTCTGCCCGCGCCATCGAGACGTTCGCTTCAATCGTGGAGGAGTTAACGAGCTATGACCGGAGTCGGGCCACGAAATCGGACATTGACGACAGACGCCGTTGCCGAACGCCCAGGAAAATTAAATGCTGAGACACGCCGAAATGAAAGAAAATAAACGTCCGAACAACGGCAGTCCGCCTTCAATAATTTGAGTATGCAAGAGGGGCGACACTCGAGTAGGAATAGTTGTATCTGGCCCCTACCGTTAAAAAAACAACAAGCTGTTAAAAACTTCAAGCCGTTGTCGTCAAAAAGCCAGTGCGCCTTCAATGATTTGAATATGCAAGAAGGATGACCCTCGAGCAGGAATAGTTGTATCAAGCCCCTTTCGTTCCAAAGTCAGCGCACTTTCGATAAATTATAATCGCTGTCGTTAAAAAACCAGCGCGCCTTCAATTATTTGAATATGCAAGAACGGCTACCCTCGAGCAGGAATAGTTGTATCTAGCCCCTGTCGTTACAAAGTCAGTGCACTTTCAATTCTAGCCGATGTTGTTAAAAAGCCAGTGCGCCTTCACTTATTTGAATATAAAGGGCGACCCTTGAGTAGGAATAGTTGTATCAAGCCGTTGTCGTTACAAAGTCAGCGTGTTTACAATTCTAGCCCCTTCCATTAAAAAGCCAACTATTTGAATATGGAAAAAGGGCACCCCGTGAGTAGAAATAGTTGTATCAAGAAGTTGTTGTTGAAAATCCAGTGCGCTTGCAATAAATTCTAGTAGTTGTGGTTAAAAAGTGAGATGTTTTGGATGTACTCAGTATCCCGTGACAAAATATAATTTTACACAAATATACACAGCGAGTAACAAGACTAGAACTTGATAAATGAAAGACTGCAACAAGCTGGAGTGCCTTCTTCAGTTGAATGTAAAAGTTAATGAAATTTGAAAAGCGTTAGAGCGTTTGAGAAGCGTACTTGGTTGTACTTTTCCAAAAAGATATGAGATAATGATCTCGTTTTTGAAAAGTACAACCGAGTACTAAGTTTTTCAAATTTCATTATATTTTACAACCAACTAAAGAACCTGTGGTGTTCCAACTGAAACTTCTCAGTTCCCGTTGTTTCTTCTAGCCTTGTTACCCACGGTATGTTTTTCTTTAAATTGCTGTCTTTAAGAAGCCAGTGCGCCTTCAACTATTTGAGTATGCAAGAGGGGCAATCCTCGAGTAGTAATAGTTGTATCTAGCTCCTGTCGTTAAAAACCAGTGCATTTTGAATTCCAGCCGCTGTCGTTAAAAAGCCAGTGCAGTGCGCCTTCAACTATTTGAATATGCAAGAAGGGCATTCCTCAAGTAGGAATAGTTGCATCAAGACGATGTTATCAGATAATTTTGTGCGCCTCCATTGTTTTGCCTGTAGAAAACATATATCTGCTGGAGAGAGGTGATCGCATTCAATTATTGGTATATAATCGCCATATATATCGCATATAATTATTGTTTGTGTCATTTTCATGCTTTAAAGTGCACACTGATCTTAACATTACTAAAATCAGGGAAGTGAAAAATATAAAGATCAGGAAGTTTTAGGAAAAAGAAAAAAATCGAAAATTATATATTTCGTCGTAGGAAGTTAAAGATTATAAAATGAAGCCAGGCTGCAATAAAACAAATAAAATTATTTCCATGAGTTTTTGTTTCTTATCATTTTTACAACCGTGGTGTTTTTAGTGTATATCATATCATTTTAAGATTTAAGTTTGTATTTTTAATCCGTCTACGTGCTGACCAAACATCTAAATGTCATGCCATTGACTCAGAACCAAATAGGACACTCATATGACGTTTTGAAGCTTGAGAGTTAGAATATTTTATTTTTTATAGAACTTAAATCACGAACTAGGCTCTGCCACACACAACTCAGCTCACGGCAGTAACATTAAGCGCTATGTTCTACGGAGGTAGGAATATTGAGAGTAGAGAAACTGTCGAAATCGAATGCATAACGCGGCAACGGTGTTTTGCCAATGATGGTGGTGCGGATCTTCCCGTGGAAAATAAATTGCAAAACTCGATCACCAAGAGCAACCTGCTCGTGTAATCACGATTTTCGTTTCGCTATTGACCATTTCGCTGGATTATTTGACCAGAAAGATTGTCCCGCTGTTGTCGAACCACGGTGGTGCTTCTTGAAAGTTGACAACAGTCAGCTTTGCCAGTTAAACTAAATGTAAAAGTATCGGTCATAGCTGAAGCAGGTTACCTCACGAGGAATCGATAGTTTTTGATGGAGTTAAATGGAGGAAAAACATATTTGTAAACTTGTGAATCGTCACCACTAAACCGTCTTCCGCCATACTTGAATCACAATGTAAATCATACGGGGTCTCTCCATAGAGTAGATAGTCTACGTCAACAAAAGCGCAAGCTCCACAAGAACCAATATAAATATTTTTATCCCCTGGGTTGGTCAATCTTCATACTTACTGAGACCTGCTTCAAAATTAACCTACAAATATATAATTGGAAAAAACATAAAATTTCAAGAAACTTTACATTACTTCTCCGATTTAACGGTAAATAAGAATAAAATAATTATTTTAATTCCTAAGAGCTTATACATTCGTTAGTATTCGACTTCTCTAGAACGCCGACATACCGCCGACTTATAATCAGTACTTATTGGCACAGTTTCACTTCGTTGACACGAAAATGGCTGTATCTTGCGCTTTTGGCCTAGTCTCTTCATTCTATGGTCTCTCTGAGGGAACTAAAGAGCTGTTTAAGGGACGATTATGAATACGACCTTTAATCTCTGACACAAAAAGTCTGATTCTCTTGGATTTTGCAGAAGAGAGAGTGGTATAAGTGCATGTCATCAATTCATTTCTGACGAACATTCACACCAGAGGATAGAAATCGCTGAAAGGGTCGAAAATATTAAATAAAATATAATCTAAACGACAGTCCCTTTTATACACAACTATTAAACCCTAACATTCACACATACTCAGTATGTCCTTAACCTTGCCGGCAAAGGGAAAGTACATCTCTCTTACTCTTACAACTCTCAAAGTGCAACTAATAGCGATAAAATTCACGCCTCAGGAAACAAGATCGGTTTAAGGCCGAAGTATGATTGACATTCCCGTACAAAAGCGATAACACCTGCCCGGGCGTTAAAATCCCTCTTGCTGGATCCATTAAAGTATCCATCGGGAAGCTTTAAATACTGATTGGAGAGCTTCAAATAATCACCTCCTAGCGTACGTAAATGTCACGGATATTGTGTCGACGATTTATTTTACGACACTTTCAACGCGTTGTCGCATGACATAATTGTCCTAAGGTCGACTATTAATGCCGGGATAAGGATTTTTTTCAATCTGTTGCGCATGCGCCTCTCGTCAATGACTAAGTATCCAGAGAAGCAACAATAAACTGGAGAGTGCCCATCGATATTTTAATGTGAGCCTCCTCTCATGTAAGATAGCACTATAGCTGAGGTTTGTGTTGACGTATGGATATTCTTTCTTTTTGCATGATGTCGGTCGGCTAGACAAGCAGAATGACCTTTAACGGTTTCGACGCGGAGGAGGTAATAATAGGGTCCGGTGGTTTTTGTTGTTCGCGGTGAAATATATCTACTGTCTAGAGTGACTGAAAACCCAGCGGTCGATGGACGTTACTGGTTGTTTTTGAGGTGGTTGAGTCGTAGAAATTTATTGCCGTTTTGAAGAAGAACGGTGGACGGTTGGATGGATTTGGTTTGATGAAGTCATCGGATCGAAGTTTTTGGATCCAGGTACTTAAAAGGCAAAGTTCCTTTTCTTGACCGTACATAAAACAGATTGCGTTTATCAGTACCTAATTTGTTTTAGACAATAATGCTCACATTATATCATAGTCTCAACGCTATTAAGACCAATCAGAAAATAATCATCATTCACAGACTCATTATCAATTTTTTTTTTAAAATTTATTGGTCTCTTTTGTGGTAAATTTGATTGCCTGTGATCAAAAAAAAACTGCTTGCTTTGACAGTAATTCTTAAAAGCAAAATATAAGCTCCACAAATTGTGCTTTAAGAAGTGAATTTTATTGACATTTCTCACGTGCTTAACATGATTTTCACGCGATTTTACTTATCCCCCTATAGAATATTGTTAATTATTTAAAACAATGCATTTTTTTTTTTTTTTTTTTTTTTTTTTTTTTTTTTTTTTAATTAAACCTCCCTTCGTGGCATGCTTTT